ATCCAACCTGAAGGTCACGTCCAACGACATTTGGTCCCAATTTTGACTTTCATCCGGAGGTACCGGAACATTTTGTGCCATGGATGCAACAGCCCTTTCGAGGTCAGCAAGACGTTGTGCCATTGAGTGGTTTTCACTACCTAAGGTATCTATCAACTTATCTTGCTGAAGGATCTTACTGTCTCGGGATAAAATTTCTTGAAGAGCCTCCTGTCGTAACCTAGTCACTTCGGCTTGTGCGGCCGACCTTGCTTCTTCTGCCTCTTGCCTAGCACGTTCAACATGGCCTACGGCTTCCTGTCTTAACAGTTCGGCATGGCCTTGGGCTTCCTGTCTCACTTGGGCGACATGGCCTTGGGCTTCCTGCCTAGCCTGCAAAACATGGCCTTGGGCTTCCTGTTGGATGTGCTGTGCAGCTTGTTCAGCGAATGCGGTCTGTGCGCGTGCGCGCTCAACTGCTTGCTGTGCTTGGTATGTCAACTCCGTTGCCTGTTGCCTAAAGGTGTGTTCCCTACGTTGCGCGGTTGCAGCAACCTCCCCTAACCTTTGCCGAGCCTCGTCTGCGGCTTGGTGTTCGTGAAGAGCAACGGTGGCAGCCTGGTCAGCTATGACTGAGGCTTGATGGGCACGTTGCAATGCCGAACCGGCCACAAATGCGGCTGCACTCATGTCCCTAGTTGGGTCGGGGACTGGCATTTGAGGGCTAAGCACTATAGGAGTTGCCACAGTTGCAGTGGAATCGGAATCGGGTTCCTCAACTATTGGTGCTCTTCGGGGAGGTGTAGCTGGGTTATCACGGCTTTGGGCAGCTCTTGATGAGGTTGACCTAGAGCCTATGGGAATCACGGACATTGCGGGTACGGGATTATCACAGAGCTCAGGGTCTTCATCATTAGAATCGCCCCCAGGGGTTGACCTTGACCTATCATCTGAAGGTGGGGTAATTCCTGATGCCATGATGGACACGACCTTTTGCACTACACAGCCAGGCTAACGTTTGCTGGCACCCGCGCTTGAGCTGCGGTCTTAGGCCAAAGGCTTGCACTATGATACAACCGGAGCGGGCAAAATGCACTTCGCTCCGGGGCACTTGCTTGCTGCACCACCGCTGCGCTTAAGCTGCAGCCTTCCAACCTTGCAGGATCAACGAAACAAGCCACGCCCGCCCCTTGCAGAGTGTGGGCGACGGCCGGCTTCTTCCAGGTACTCTTCCTGTCGGAGCACCCGTGCGGGGCGAAGGAGGTCCCTATGGTCTTGCAAATACTGATCGAGCTCCTCAAAGGCGTCGTATAGGGCACGGTTTTGGTCACGGCGCCCGACTCCAATTGCGAACACGTCTGCAATTCTGCACTCACGCAATACGGCGTTGTTATCGTCAATGATGACACAAGCTCCAATCCGCGCTAAAGCTGCGGCCTTACCCGGCGGGCCCACACGCTGATAGGTTAAAATGACCTCTCCGAAGGGGTCAGTGCCCAGCGTCGGAATATTGCTGTTGCAAGCGTGCACGAAGTGGCCCGCTGTCCTCAGGGTCCTCTCACGAGTGTCCCTGGATGTGCAAAAGCTGATAATCCTGAACTCGATCGGGTGTGGTTGCGATAGATCTTTGAAAGCTTGTACAAAAGCCAATCGCTTGGAGCGCCGTTCGCGTCTGCTGCAATGTCCAGGGTATTGTGCCAGTCCACTGCAATGACGAGTGGGTTCCTCTCTTCGGCTTGCGCCTGGCCCCACTGGCCCCGTTGCTGATCGGAAGGAAACGCCCTTGGCGCAGGCACAACTTGGGGTGGCTGCGGGGGCGGCAGCTTTGTCTGCGGTTGTTGCGGATGAGCTGGTGGTGGTGGTTGCTTGAACTTCGGCGGCGTGGATTGAGGCCTTGTTCCCCCTCCTGGCACTGACGCTGCGCGTGGCGCTGCAGCCCTAGGCACGGGTGCCGGAGGTGCAGGCGGTTGCCTTAGTGGAGGTGGTGGGATGGCCTTCGCCGCGGCGCGGTCTGCTGCAGCCTGGCTGACAATCACGTGTGGTGGCGCCTTTGCTGGCTTCTCCCTGTTGCCAAAAACAATTCTGCGGGCTTTGGCGACGGGAGCAGAAGACTCACGCTCGGTAGGAGCTGGCCGCTTCGGGACAAATTCCTCGGCCTCGTAAACCCGGTTTGGGTTGAACCCAGCACGGCCAGAGACGAAGGCGTTAGCCGACCTCTCTGGCGATGACGACTCACTGCGGATGTCGAAGTGCTCGGCGTTCCTTGCAGGATCCTCGTTACGGAAAGCCCCGTAAGGAGAATCCACCCTCGGTGGTCGATGCCAATATGAATCCGGGAGATCGTAGGGCTCGTCTGTTGGCGGCGCGTGATGAGCACGGGACGGCCTTGGTGGCGCGCCTTCGTGCCGGTGTTGTAGGATCCAAATGCCGGCACTGTCCACGCGTGTAATCGGAAAAACCGCGTTTGCTGCTGCCAATATCAACGGCCTGTCGCTGAGGGATGATCGAGGAGGCGGTGAAGGGGAGCGTACGATCACTGCCCGTGCAGGCGGTGATCGATGACTCCTTGTTCGCGACCTCGCTGCGCTTGGAGCTGCAGCCCTATGCGGAGGTCGTGACCTCTGTCTCCACGGATGCGCCTGTGGCTTTGGCGATGCCCTTCTCCTTGGCAATGGCGATCGACGATGGGAGGTGGAACGTTCCCAAATATTGACAGTCCTTGTTTCCGCCGGATGTGATGAGCCTCTCCTTGGCGGCGGGCCAGGTGGTGTGTGCGGCGAAGGGATAGCCGCGGATGACTCGCGGGCGGTGCCACTGCTGCGCTCGGAGCTGCAGCCTGCGTGGACACCGTTGCCGTTGACGAAGACGGGCTCGTGGGAGTGCCGGGTTGCGGGGGCTGAGGAACTGCTGTTGCTGCCCCGTCGGCTTGCCCTACCGCGCTCGTAGCTGCGGCCTGTGCCCAATTGTTACGCTGGGGGATTGGCTGGTGTCGCCCCTGGGCCACGACGGCGTTGTACACGTCCGGGTAAGCGTTGCGTAGGTGTCTGTACGATTCCTCTGAAAAATCGTCTCTCCAGGCAAGCAAGGCTGATCTAAAGTCCTCGTCTGCGTCTTGCCACTCCACGCGTTCAATGCTTATACGGAAGGTCCGCCAAGCCCAACCGCTGAGCACGTCGTAGGCTTCAAAGTAAAGCCTACGACGGTGTACCCAGCCTCCTCGGTGTCCGCGTGCCGAAAAGTCCGGCGCGGCGGGGTGCATGTACGAAGTGCACGCGCTTACTGGACCGAGGGGGACTAAACCAAAAAGCAATTACGGCTGATAACCAATCAACAGGGAAAGAAACACAGCGAACCAGAAACCGGGACCCTTATTAACCCCAGTCCAGTAAGCGCGCGCAAACCCTGCTTTGTTAAACATGGGCAACTCAGTCTTGAGCCAAATGGCATTGTGCCATTCGGAGTGAATTCAACCAACACGGATCTCAAGGGCCTCAAGCATCACATGCATGCGTACCCTTTGGGGGTACCTCTTTGGGGGTCAAGGGGTCGTGATTATTCAACTAAACATGAGGTAAATGAGGAGGCAATGAGCCACAATTGAAGGATTCTTTGACCCGGTGCTAGGCTCTTCTATGTTCCCCGCTTTGATTTAAAAGGAATAAATTCCAGGAGAGGCACGGGTACAAGGAGGAAACCTGAAGCCCGCCCACTCGGAAAGGTTCGGAAGGGACCTACTTGGAAGGGGCTCTCAGGATTCTGATGATGTCAGGGCCGTCAAGTGTCTCAACTGAGCAAGGGTCACAACTGGGCCAAAAGGCTGTGGAGTTGCTCCACTGTGCCGCCATCTGTGACTATCACAGCGCAAGGGACGCCATTGCAGCCAAACTAGTGACCCTTTAATGACTACTTGAGGCCAGGGGAGGCAAGCGAAAGCCTCCCACCCCGCACGAGGCCGATGCCGGCTTACTTTTAGGGGTTGACAGGGGAGGAACGAAACCTAACGAGAAGAAGAGAGCACTGGCCAATCACTCGGACACTGCGTCGGAGGTGCCCGTAAAGGCATAGTCATCTTCCGAAGCCACATTTCTTGGACCGCAGTCAGCGCAAAAAAAACACGATACAGCACAGAGTTGTGGGATTCACTGTCCCCATTACTTGCTGAAGCAAGAGAGGCTCCATGTAGCAAGCCAGCTTTCGTGATCAGAGGCCATTATGAGCTACCAAGGGTCATGCATGACATCATAACCTTTCCATGCCCCCTTTGGCATGGATGTTTCTTTTCTCAAATCTGGGGTGCGCAACAAACAACATGTTCCGATTCTGGTCCATATGTAGTCCACCCTAAAATGCTGAACTCATCTTGGAGGAGACCCTAGGTTTGATCCTTCCAAAGGGAAGCTCGTTCGCATCCCTGCACAGATTTGCAAAAGGCACTGAGACATGCGACAGAAGCGGAAAAGGCGGAAGTCCATCTGTCACACCCCAGGCAAAACATGGGTAGGGTACAATGCAACATCAATCAAGCCATTTCCCAGCAAGTTTCAAGAAAATCCTGGACAGGAATCAGCGGACACGTTTTTGGGACAGGTACCAAGGGACATAGATTTATAACCTCTTTGGAGAAGGTCTCTTGGTCGCCAGTCGCTGTTGTCCATCAGATTCACCCCACCACAAACATACATGGCTTGATGTGCAGACTGCTTCCCAAAAAAGACCGTCGTCTCGAACAATCATGTAGCCTCTAGCGCACCTGTCTGAGGGTCCTTAGCCAGGGACTTTGCTACCCCCAAACCACTCCAAGTGAAAATGCGGGATATACCATAATTTAGCCACACATACCATGTATTTTCATGGGCGTAACGCGGAAACAATTTTACAGGGGGGGGATTTTTCCCTCAACAACAGCTATGGGGTCTTAGCCACTCCAAATCGGCGGCCTTGGGGCAGGTTCTGCGGTTGGGGATGCTCCTTGGGCTTCTGGTCTCTCGACATGTTTGCAAGTGACACCTTGACAGCCCTGCCTCTCCCCCATCCACCGCAGTAGGTCGGTGCGCCCGAGCCTTGCAAAGTTCAAAGAGGCAATGTAAAGGAGCAAATCAAGAATTCCAATTTCAGTGGGCAATCAAGTCATTTCAGGTGGGATTCCTTGGATTAATTGGTTGGATCCTCCAGGCTAATCCGCTACCTCAGCTTTTGCCCCCAGCTGTACAGAAAGGGAAAGCGGGTGCCACTGAACAGCTTGGTTTAGATTAATTATGGTCGAACGCTTCAGCAAATTGACGTCCAACGAGATCCCAGCAAGGGGCCTGCTGCGAAGATCTGGGCGAATCTAGAAAGACTACTTTTCGTTTGAAAGGAAGCCTGTGCAATTCCGCGGTGGTGTGGTGGACTCCAAAAACACACAATATCTTCTTTAGTGCTCCCCCATGTTTGGACTCCAACCAGTATGTAGCCACTTTGCAAATGGCAGTGGATCAAATTTCCTTCAAGAGTGTCCCGTCCTGGGCGAAACCTTGTAAGAAGCTCTATCAGCTTTCGCCGATTCGCGAGACTTGCTCCATGTCCCAGCCAAGGTCATTCCAATAAGGGGGGTCAAGGATGCAAGCAAAGGTGCTGCCCATGTCCCGTCGACAAGGGAGTGGGGCCTGCAAATATCAAGAAGTCAAATGCCAAGTCATTCACGAGGATGTCGTGCAAAGACAATGCTCATTCGCGAAGTCCATCGCACACTTTTGGGGGGCAATAATACCTACAACGTTATGGTCGCCTGCAAAAACCTGTTTATTGATCAACTCCCAAATGGTACGCATCCCAGTTTTCATTGGGGGGGGCGGTGGTTTGGGTAGTGGACCCAACATGTGGCAACATGTGGCAACCATCTTAGAACCACTTGCTAGGTCCCATGGTGTACTTTCCGACGCCGCGGCCACCAACGCGACACATCCGCAAAACCCCGCCTCTCGCCCCGCGCTGGGTGAGAGGCGCTGGGCCTCTTTCTCCTGCAGCTTTCGGAAGATGTTTGTGCTCAAAGGGGCAGGGTACTTAGTCAGTCGCTAGTAACCGTGGTTACATCCTACTCAGTAAATGTTTGAAGTCCCCTAAGTGGTTACATCCTACACGGAAACTAGACACTTAGCTTGAGGTTTGCCCGAAAACCAACCGAATGACATGTTTAGCGGTTTGGTCCAATTTGGTGAGCCTTAACATGCAGGAAGATGTTAAACGAGGCCCCAAATAATGGAGGTGAAGACCCCCAAAGGGAGAAGCCTTGTCCACAAAGGGACACGGAACAACAATCTGAGATAACGGTGCTTGAGGGGTTTAGCTGTCTACTGCCCCCCCCCAACAACCAGAAAAAACGGGGGTTATGATGCAGTCCTCCTTTGGCTTGACATCTTCTGACCAGCCAGCACGTCTCGAGGGCGAGATTCCTGAGTCGCGAGAGCTGGCAAGCCACCAGGCCCAGAGTGAACATGCTGGGCCTTATGCCAATATAAGCCTATATATATATATATAAACTGTGCTACCCCCCCCCCCCCCCGGGACCCCCCCCGCAGGACCCACCTTCAGGATGACCACCCCTAATATTCCCCTAGCATTCCCCTATTCCTGTAGTATTATCTTGCCCCTAAGTTTCCCTCAGCGCTCCCCCCCTATTCCCGTAGTATTCTCTTGCCCCTAGGGTTCCCTCAGCACTCCCCCAGTATTTCCTTACTATTCCCCAAGTATTTCCTCAGTATTCCCCTAGTATTCTCCCAGTATAAATTGAAAAATATTAAATAAGAATTCATGAAGAAAGAATTCAGAGGTCCCAAACTTGTTGAATATTGTTTTTAATGTTTACGGGTTTGAAAAGACAAGTCTATTGGAAAGGGAATCCAGTGGGGGTCCTGTGCAGCAATTTGTATTAAATAAGAATAATCGTTACTACAATTCCAATTTCACTATTTCCCAAGCATTTCCTTTGTCAGTATTCCCCTAATATGATCCTAGTAACTTAATGTAATTTGAAAAAGATACCAGTAGAGCCGGCGAAGCCGGTGGGCGGAAGTTTCAAACATATAAAAACTATAGTTATATTTCTCTTTCTTTTCTTGACTCTTTGTCTCTTCTTCCTTGTCACGGTTTCGTTTTTTCTCTGTCGTTTGTTCTTTCTTTCCTTCCTTCCTTCCTTCTTGCTTTATTTCTTTCTTTTCTGTCTTGTCTTTCTTTATTTTGCTTGTTTTTGCGCTGTTCTCTTGTCTATATATCTATCTATCTGTCTGTCTATCTATTGTTCTCTATCTTTCTCTATCTGTCTATCTGTCTATCTATCTATTGTTCTGTATCTTTCTCTATCGATCTATCTACCTGTCTATGTATCTATCTCTCTCTATTTCTATCTATCTCTCTTTCTATCTATCTATCTGTCTATCTATCTGTCTATCGATCTATCTATCTATCTATCTATCTATCTCTCTTTTGCTCTATCTATCTACCTATCTATCGATCTATCTATCTGTCTATCTTTCTATCTGTCTGTCTATCTATCTATCTCTCTGTCTATCTCTCTGTCTATCTATCTATCTATCTATCTATCTATCTCTTTTTTATCTATCTATCTTTCTATCTTTCTATATCTATCTATTTGTTCTTTCGTTCTTTCTCTCTTTTGCTCTATCTATCTAACCATCTATCTATCTACTTATCTATCTACCTACCTATTTGCCTGCCTCTCTCTACACCGATCTATCTATCTATCTATCTGTCTGCTTATCTATCGATCTATCGATCTATCGATCTATCTATCTATCTATCTATCGATCGATCGATCTATCTATTTGCCTACCTCTCTCTTCGCCTATCTATCTATCTATCAATTTATCTATCGATCTATCTATATATCTATGCATCTATCTATCTATCTATCTATCTATCTGTACTTGACCTTGCGAAGGTGCTGCGCCTGCCACGAAATCTGTACTTGACCTTGCGAAAGTGCTGCCCCTGCCAAGGAATCTGCACCTGACCTTGCGAAAGCGCTGCGCCTGCCACGAAATCTGTAATTGACCTTGCGAAAGTGCTGCGCCTGCCACGAAATCTGTACTTGACCTTGTTAAAGTGCTGCGCCTGCCACACAATTCAATCCTTAAGAAAACTTGCTCCGAGAGTGTTCCGAGCCCGCTCCGAGCCTGGTCCGAACGTGGTCCGACCAGGCGCCGCGAACAGGCTAGCTTTCAGCTCTCCAGCGACGCCAATTCACGCACAGGGCCACGCTTTTTGCGCCTTTCTATTCTCCCACCACACGCGAGCGCGTATTTTCTCGCGTGCTTATTCCTTCTCTTGTCATCTGTCTCAGAGAGCTAGCTTTCAATTAGTTGCCGTAACACGGAAGTTCCTTCCAAACTTCCTTTGATGAAATAATAACTCATAAGGGAAGAATTCACAGGTCCCAAGCTTGTTGCCTATTGGAAATGGACTCCTGTGGGAATCCTGAGCAGCAATTGATAGTAAATAAGAATTCATAAGGGAAGAACTCAGAGGTCCCAAGCTTGTGGAATATTGTGTTCAAATGTTTACTGATTTGAAAAGACAAGCCTATTGGAAATGGAATCCTGTGGGAATCCTGAGCAGCAATTGGTATTAAATAAGAATTCATAAGTAAAGAAACCAGGTCCAAACAATGTTGAATATTGTGTTTAAGTGTTTATTGGTTTGAAGAGACAAGTCTATTGCACAGGGAATCCTGTGCAACATTTGGTTTGCCATAAAATCATAAGTACTGACAATTCCAATTTCAAATAAAATGCATGGTTGGATTATGTCCTATTAAAGTCTTTATAGTTTCAGTTAGACATTGAGTAGAGTTTGACAAAGATATTGAGTAGAATTCATAAGGAAAGAATGCAGAGTGGCTGAGATTGTCCAACCGTGTCCCCCTGCTGGTGATGCAGGAGTCTTGCAATCCAGGATGTGTGTCTGTGTGTGTTAAACAGGTCGCCCAAGTGCAATACCAAAGGGAGACAAGGGGATACTAAGGTGTAGGGTGTGCAGTGGAGACTTCAGGCACGACAGAGATACATGAGGGAAAAACAATAAACCTCGAGAATACAAAAAGCACATAGGGGACACTAAGGAAATACCAAGGGAATATTGAGGGAATACTAGGGAAACACTAGGGGAACACTACAGGGTATACCAACATAATGCTAAGGGGATACGAGGGCAAAATTCGGTGAATACTTGGGGAATATTAAGGGGATACTAAGGGAGGACTGAGGAAATACTAGAGGGTATACCAAGAGAATACTAAAGGAATAGGGGAATGCTAAGGGGTAGGGTGTGCAGTGGAAACTTCAGGCAGAGAAACAGAACACCAACAAAACCTCGATAAAACCAAACAACTAAACAAAAAACAATATTTAGAGAGTCGTCTGGTCCTTCAGGGTCTGTTTCTACAAAAAACAAAAAACGAGAAAACCAAAAACATGAAACAACAAAAAACCTCGAGTAAGTGTAAGTGTAAGTGTAAGTGTAAGCCTGCAAGGCCCTCCCACAGGATGGGCCAGAAAGAGAACGCATGTGGGCACCTTTGCTCCAAGGGCCCATCGGCCGCCACATCGCGTTCAACTATGCTGCCCAGTCGCTCCCGCTTTCACTCACCTACACTGCCTCCATGTGAAACGCTTTGCCTGGTACACAAAGTTAAAAAATATTCCTCTTAAAGCAGTCTTCATCAAGGACCTTAGACATGGATTGGGGGGCGCAAGCAAGAGGCAAACCCTGACATTCAGACAAAACATGGTGCACATCCACATCTGCAACGCTGCACCACGGGCAAGCTTCCAAAGTTGCAAAGAGCTGCTGGGAATTGTCAAAAACCCCAAAAGGGAAGTACCCAGTCAGAAGGACAAAAAGCCAGATCCGCGCTTGTGCCCATTGGCTCTTCGAAAGGCACAAGGATTGCAGGAAACGAAGGAATTTCAAATGTCGAGCGTCCCATGGTACCAGGCTAAAGCAGCGCCTGCTGCTCCATTTGCCCGCTTGAGTCTGAAACCATTCCTTCTCCACTCGTTCAAGTTGCGGCAGAACAACAGAGTTTCGCCACTCTCGAACGGCCCGTCTCGCAGCATGAGCAAGTTCCAGCAAACGCATGGACTCCCTATGCTCACAAAAATCACGCGTTACCCCCAAGGTTTCTGCTACCTGTTGAGCATGAGTCATCCAAGAAGAACCTTTGTGGAGAACTGCGGCTTGAACAGGAAAACAGGCCAGGTGGTCACCCTTTAGGCACAAAGCGTGCTCGGGTAAGAATGATTTTCATGGCAACGCGGGTGCTGAGCCGCCACTTCATGCCCAATTCATGCATGATGCGGCTCTGCCCCCCTTCCCCAAGGGACGCCCCTGGGCAGCCCAAAATCTCCTTGCAAACCACATTGCAACTGCAGCCCAGCCATGCGAATGGCTCGCTACAGCGGCAGCTGCGTAAAGCGCAGATGGTTCAACCCTGCTGTGAAGTTGCTCAACCTGCCAAACAAGTTGTGGACCTCATTGCCTGCGATTCCTTAATAAACCTGGCACAAGCCATTGCCAATAAAGTTTCGAAGGTGAGCCCGCCATCGACTTCAACTCCCAAGACTGACACGCAATCCACAACCCGGGGTGGGGTAGCGCAAGCACTCAGTTCCACTGGCCTCTACCCACGGGTCTGGATGCCCATTTTGTTTTTTCAGAGGCAAGAACTGGCAAATCTCACTCAATAAGCGTCCTATCTTCCTCCATGCGAACCTGCACTGTGTCTGCACCAAGGAGCCATGGAAGTTCATGCTTAGGACAAGCCAAACAAACCACAGTGCGACCTACACATCATGCACCACAAGATATATGAACGGGTGTCTGGCTGCTCTGTCGGGGAGCTGCGTGAAGATGCCGATCGGCGCTTGGCCGCCCGCGCCCTTCCGATCGCATTGAAAGTCCACCCAGCCAAGGTCGCTAACCGAAGTTAGCCAGACCCGGCATTCGTCGCCGGCCTCCAAACTCATATCCTCCGCCTGCCACCTTATTTGTGCGGTCATGGTGGTCGGCTTCAGCAACTCGAGATCCTCCAAGGTCTCTCGCAGCAACCAGCCCTGGGCCTGGTTGCGGAAAAGCTTGGTGTGGACCCAGAAATCGTCGCCGCTTTCCGGTCAGACGCGGACTAGGTCGCCCCCCACGGCGCTGAGCTCAGCATTCAGCCTCCTCTTGTAATCCTGAACAACCTGCTTCAGCGCCGATGCACCGGCCTCTGCAGGTCCGGAGAGCCGCCTCCTGCGCTCCCTGCGCTGGCTGCAGAGCCAGATGATGCAAACAAAAAAACATATCTGGGAACTCTGTGGAAGACCACGCCTTGTGAAGACTCTCTGAATATTGTTTTTTTGGTTTTCAAGTTTTTTGTTTTTCTGGAAAAGTGTAAAAAAACCTCGAGAAAACCAACAAAACCAAACAAAACAAAAAAAACAAACAATATCTGGGAACTCTGTGGAAGACCACACCTTGTGACTGAATATTGTTTTTGGTTTTGTTTTCGAGGTTTTTTGTTTTCTGAGATGGTCAGTGTCAGATGCGACAGGCAAATGTGCATTTCGCCTAGGTGCCACCGCGAGCACATACAGAAAACCATGGTTTTTGCAGCGTTTTAGCAAGACTGGCAGATAAGACCTTGGTTTTTTCCTCTTCCAAAAGACTATGTTTTTCTTCGATTTTTTGTTATCTTTTTCCACCTGTTGGGGGTACCATACCAGGCCCAGAGTGAACATGCTGAGTCTTATGCTAATATAATCCAATATATATTTATATATTATGAGAGAGAGCCACTGTCAAAATTACTTGTTTCCCCAAGAGGATATGGGGAAATTGGCGCGTCGCCTGCTTTTTTTGCGGGAAATTTAGTGAGTTCCGCCATGTCCCTCCAAAATCAACGATAGACTGCTGAATGTTATGATCAAACCTCTGAATACCCGACAAATATTACCCAAAACCGCCTACTCAAAGCGATACCCCGGACAAATTTCCTGTTGCTATCATGGGAGCCCAGGGTTCATAAACCCCCATTGACTTTCAGAGGGGGCATCCTTCACTTTGAAAAACCCTTGCTCATCTGAAAGGCGTATCAATCCAGGGTACAGTGGGCAACTTCCGATTTAACCATTCCAACTTTTCACTACTTACTTGGTCACATCAAGGGCACACACAGGCTCCACCAAGCAAACCAATGGAAGCAATCATTCTTAAAAAGCCCCCAGTCGATTTCACTAGGCGGACTGGCGGCGCAAAGTGGGCAATGCTGTGCTACTCTACTGCATCCTCATCATTTTGGCTAACCTTGCGCTGCCTTCGGGCGGCACTGCAGTGAACCCTTCAACGATTTTCTGGGTAATGTGAGCCCATGTAGCTCCCCTGGTTGATTGACAGGGAGCAGGTGCAACCGGGGGTGCCCCGACTTTGCTGTCCGGTTGGCTTCCCTATAAAATTGACAGATTTGATTCGACCGAAGTTAACATTAGGGACCCCCCCAATTTTGAACAACTCAGCCTTTTCAATTCGGGGTGTCCAAAAAGTCCCGGGAAAAATGAGCAAATATTTCCCGTAGTGATGGATTCCCTTTAAAACCAAAAGGGGAAAATAAAACATATTCTGAAACGCAAGTGGAAGCGACGAGCCATTCAACGCAGCGCGACCCATTCCGCCCAGGCGCTGTCCAACTCTGGCATCGCCTGGACAAGTGCGACACGTGTCGGAGCAAGGGGAACGGAAAATTGGAACAGGACCCCCTAGTGACTCGAGTGGTTGGTATTTAACTTGAAGCAAACATGTTCCACCAAAAGAAACAGGGCACCCCAGGAGGCCGGGTTGGGTCTCGCATCGCCTCCTCCTCCTCCGCCCGCCGCACTGTGCGCTTGGGCGGCGGGGAGCTCGGCGAGCCACAGCCGCTGCTCGGCGCCGGTGCCGAAGCCGCCGAAGCGGGGTCGGGCAAAAAGCGGAGGGTGAGCACGGTCTCCTGAGTGAGGGGCGGTTTCTCTGAACTAACCGCGCACCCACCTTAGATACAGTTGGGTCAGATTGTTTAGATGCAGAATCTCCTTTAATATTTGGTAACACATGAACATGCCCCTTACTTACCTTTTGCACATGGGGTTTTGATCGTCGCCCGTTTAAGAATTAAAACCGGTGTGTCTTTTTCTGAGCGGGGGGGTGCAAACCTTTCCCGCCGCGGCGCCAGGCCGAAGCCGATGAGCGCGCCGGGCCGCAGCGGCGCGGTGGCCTCCTTCGGTGCGGGGCGGCCGTCCAAAGTCACCAGGCCAGAGCCCTTCACCGTCAGCGAGGCGCCTGGCCGATGCAACCGGGGGTGGGGTGGGGGATGGGGTGGGGGGTGGGGGGTGTTTCTTGTTTTTCTGTTGCTTGAACACACAGATCCACTCATGTGCAACCATGTCCATTGCCATTTGGCTCAAGGGCCTGGTGTAAATAGCGATATCATCTTGCTTAGGTGAAAACAATACACCGCCATTGCTGATTGTGACTTTGGTACATTATATATTTATCCTATTGGCCAAACCGGTCCACTTCTTCTTCAACATCCCTATCGGAGTAGTTTCCAGGGACCTACATTGGACTATTTGCCTGGCCCTACCGGGCCTGCAGTATTCCAAGCCACAAACAGGTTCTCCGACAAGAGGATGTCCAGCGAAGAAGATTTTTACGGATCAGAACCACCCATGGCGGCATTCTTAGGGAGCCGTCATAACGGCGTGAGTTCCCACGAGGAGTCCATCAACCTGTCGATGAACGCAAAATTGCCTCCATCGTACGACGGCCGTGTTAGTTGGCTCAGATATGAGGATCTGGTCAGAGATTGGTGTACATTCACGGTGATAGAACCTCACCGTCGCGGACCCTTATTGAAAAACCGTCTCACAGATGACGCGTTACCATACCGCGAATTGATGAGCAATGAACGACTTATTGACCCAGATTCAGGAGTTGATTATTTCCTCAATGTCCTGCGCGGTTACTTTCTAAAAGGATCCCAGAATGTATTCCTATTCAGATTCCTCAGTTTTTTCAACCACAGAACAGGAAACGGTGAGTTCATAACTTTCATTAGCAAGTTTGAGATTCTTCTCAGAAGATTGAAGGCATCCTGGGAAGATACAGCTCCAGAATTCACCGTCAACAGCCCTGAGTATATCCAGGCGATCAACGACGCTAATCAGCGAATGCGTGAACAGCATAACTTGAGAGTTGCAGAACTCGTGACGATCATGCAGGGACTGCCGCAAGGAGCCGCAGCACCCATAGTGCCCGATCCAAATTACCTCGATGCCGGACTTCAAGAAAAATTCGACAGATTCGCATGAGGTAAGAGAACTGAGCATACTCAGTCATTTCCATTGACTGACAATATGATCACACTTTTCTTTATTATCCAAAGCGAACTGTCTGAGGGACAACGTGAGAGATTAGTCTCTTCACTGAGCCTCAGAAACATACAGCTTCCGCAATATACGTGTGAGATTGTGAAAACACAATATTACGACCTCTTCATCACCACCAGAACAAACCTTCAGGATCCGAACATCCGTCCATCAGGAGGAAGCAGATCCAAGACCTTCTTTATCCTTGATCAAGGAGACTATGAAGGCGAAGAAGGATTGTGGGTAGAAGATGAAGAAGGCGCGGAAGGTTTCTGTCCCTTAGATGATGAAGAAGCCTTTTGGCAACTAGAAGATCATGATGCTTTTGTTCTCAAAAGATTCCAACGTCGGACCTTTAAGTCTGGCAAGGGGCGAAAAGGAAGAAACGGCAAGGGAAAGCGCCGAAGAGGCAGCTTTAGACCCTTCAGGAATCCACAATCAAGCGGCAGGGCCAACATGGCCGACGAGACCACCACCGATCATTCATACTGGGGAAAGAAAGGCAAACAACCTTGGTACCAAAAAGGAAAGGGAAAACCCTTCAACAAATCCAAGGACAAAGGAAAAGATTCAGGCAAGGACGACAAAGGTAAAGGCAAAACCAAAACCTTCGCCGTGGATCACAATGCCGAGACACAGGACGCAACACAGCATCCTGCTGACATATCGGCAGAGCCTTACCAGGATGATTGGGGCCAAAGTGCCTGGTGGTCCACAGAATGGAACAGCAGTTCATTTTACACGACCCAAGATGGTCACATGACATACCTAGCACACATAACTGACGAAGTTGATGCTAGCAGAAGTACGGTCACCCAAAATGGCTTGACCTACGACATAATACCGCGTGCGACACCGAAGGGCAGCTCAAGCTCTGGCCAGCAAACTAATGGCGCCCATAATCAAACAGGCCGAACATCCAACCCATGTCATTCTTGACAACGGTTGCACAAAGTCCATGGGCAGCTGGTATGCTAAGGCAATTGAACCATATCCTCATAGGATGAAGTACGAGTACATTCCGTGCAATACAAGGTTCACATTTGCCAATGGTCAGACCTCTAAGGTCGACTGGACTCTCCGACTCTTTTTCAACACCTCACCACCTATGGTGACAAACATTGACATTCTTGAACAGGGACAAGTTCCTATTTTGCTTAGTATTGATCAGATGCGAAACCTTCACATGACGACTGAGCATACTCCTCAATGTGATAAGATTACATGCAAGGCATTCGGTATGATTCGACAACCCATACCAGTATCCAGCAGTGGTCATGCATTACTTGATCTTGCGGCCTTTTGCAAACAACACGATTTCAGGACGGCAACTAAGGCTTAACTAAGGCATTCGACGACGACAAGATCAAACCGAATCCGTATCCATCACTGCTTGCGACTGCCTATCCAGTAAAGGAAGAATCCAAGGAACCCATAGTTCCGGAACCGGCACCAGCAGCAGCTAATACGGAGATCACCGGACACACCAATAACGACCACTGGGTAATCAATCACACAACCAAGGAACTCCATAGAGTTCATGCGTCGAAGAGGAGAGCGTTATTCGCACCTGATACAAGCAAAACTTGTCCAATTGCACACACTCAGATTCACAATCAGAGAATAACCAAAGGATTTGACATTGAAACAAAGGAACCCCTCCACCATTGAGGACAACTGGCGTCTCAAGGCAGCTTCACCGAAAACGGCTCCAGAACTGTACTTTCAGCCGAGCAGATTCGAATTGACAGACCAGCAGACAGGATCATTCCAGCACCAGGCCGGCATGCCGCTGAGCCAACAGATCCTGCTGCACCATCAGAAGCACCAGCAAGTGCTCCACCAATAACATTACCATTAGCACTAAAGCGCACACACACACGACTCGCAAAACCAGAAGAACTTCGAAAACTACACCTGCAACATCACCACATGTCAGCTGAACAATTCAAGTTCAGGACTCGCGCATTGCACCTGCCCAAGGAGATCTACGACCTCTATGACAAGATTCGAGCAGAGTGCGAACCCTGTCAGAAGGCCTCCATTGCACCTTCACGTAGCAAGACTAGTGGCCTCAGAGCAGAAACATTTGGAGAACTAACCTTTGTCGACCACTGTTTCGTTCCCATAGGAACCGGTGAACATATCACCGTCTTGGTGATCCTCGATGGAGCCACCACATTATTGGCAACCGAGGTTGTCGAAAGAACCAAAGATTCTGAGAATATTCCTTTACTCAGAAACTACTTTGATCAATATCATCTTCAGCCAAAATGTGTTGTTGGAGACCAAGCACTCATGACAGAAAACTGGGAGACTTTTTATAATAGTCTCGATATTCGCCCAGTTTCCTTAGGTCCCATGACACCTTGGCCGAGCCGAGCGGAAACAGCAGTGCGTCTCATCAAGAGACAAGTCTCCATAATGTTGAATTCCATAAAGACAAGTATCGCACCGGCCTCCTTAAAGGCCATCACTTACAAGCAGCTTGTCAAGGCAGCCGCAACTGCGAGAAACCTCTCTGTCACATATGGCGGAGTCACTCCATTGGAACTAGCATTCGGACGCAGACCAGCAGAACTCATACAGCTTGAAGTGGCAACACCAGCACAGCTCACAATTCCTAAAACGGAAGAAGAGCTGACTGCTGGACAGATTCGACTACTTGCACAACAAGCATATCAGGAAGCTCGACAATCTGAAGACGTCCGACAAGATCTCGCACAACAAACTGCGACTCAGTTCCAAGCCAATCATAATTGGCGATAGAGTTTTCTGTTGGGGTGAGGACAAGTCAAAAATTAAGCCTGATGGATCCAGAGGAGGAATGTGGCTAAAGGGCAAGGTAATATCCACCGATGGTACAATGGTTGGAATCGACCTTGGAACCAGATTGCTCAAGGTCAACATCACCAAGTTGAGGAAAGACGAAACCAAGTCACCATCAAACCCAGGACTTGACCTGCCATCCTCCGATGACGATCTTCATACAGATCTGATGTCACAGGCAAGGGCAGCAGACCGACCAGCCAAGCGACTGAGCACAAAAACAACCCTAAAACAACCAGAATCAGCAGATCCAGCCAGCTTCATCAGCTGGACTTTACACAGAAGACTACACATGCGAACCTCAGTTTGCCAACTGGAACTGTGTCACCAAAGGAAAGATCCATGTGCTGGAAGTTTTTGCTGGAAGTGCTCGACTTAGTCAGTGCCGTGCACTAACAGGTTTGAAGGTCGGCACACCGATCGACATCAGAAATGGTTTCGACATCATGACTTCCAAAGGAAGACAAATGGTGTTAGACATTATCCGTGAACAACAACCAGATGTTGTCTGGCTGGCACCAGTTTGCGGACCTTGGTCCATCGTGCAAAACATTAACGACCCAAAGATTGTTGCAGAGAAACGAGCAAGATACTTGCCGATGATCGATTTCGTTGCATCAATTGCAAGATATCAACAAAGCAAGGGCCTCTATTTCATCATAGAGAACCCTCAGAAATCCAAGATTCGGACTCTTAAGTCCATTATGGATCTCATGAAACATGCTCAGGTCACATGGAATAACCTTGATTTGTGCGCATTCGGTTTGCGTGATCCTGACACCAAACTCAGAAGTTTGAAATTGACAAGTCTCACGCATAACCTTCCTAAGGAAGTAATGAGACCAATTTTCAGGAGGTGCTCCAACTACCTGAACAAGGAGAAGCACCTGCATCAGCCTCTCGAAGGCAACACCAAGAGTCAGGGCAGCCATACTAAACTTGCCCAGACTTATCCATTTTCATTTTGTCAAGAAATGCCACATATTCTTCTAAGATTCCTTAAGGCTAAGCCTTTGGACAACGAAGTCTTCCTCCTGGAAGACATGTTTGAACCATTCTCGGACAGTGACATATCATACATCC